ACTAATACTTGCCTTTCTTTCTCTATTCTATATATGTTTTAAAGCAGTAACTTTTCCTGTGAGCTCTATCTTAGCTGTTTGCCTGAGATTTGGGCATGTAGTAATTTTATTATTGTTGTGGTCTCATTATTTTCTGATTTCATTATGATGTTGTCTCATTCATTTCTTATTGAGAATCATGGAAAAGATGTTCTGTCTAGGGGGATTACAAAGTTATCTTTTGCTAATGATTTCTAATTTAATCGCCAAGTGGGTAGAAAGCCTTGTCTGTTGATTTCCTATCTTCAACATTTGGTGAAGCATGCACAGTGAATCAGAACATGGCCCCTTTTTTTGTTGTTCTGACAGCTGGGGGAGAAGGAGTAACCTCTAAATGGCAGGTGTGGCATTGTACCCACACACACTGTCATGTTTGCATGTTTTCATGTATTCTGCTTCTTCATTACTTTGTCACTATAATGTGTGAACTGTAACAGAATGGCATGTTGGCATCTCCCACTGGATAGGCCGTTTGCTGGATTGGCTTGGGTGTCGCTCATCCGACTGATTTCCCAGCCATGGGCCCTCACAGCCACTGCATACTTCTTCGCTGCACTTACAGTGATATCTCTTTACTGGATTATTGCTTAATTTCCTAAATTCTCTCCTGGCTTCTTCTCCTGCCCCTCTTTACTTTCAGCATGTATTCCATACCAGCAGCCAGGTTGCTCATGTTAAAATGTCATGATTTATCATGCTTCCTTTTTTCTAAAACCCTCTCTGATTCTGGTTTTCTGCAGATTCCACCTGCTCTCATTCTTAAAATGGCCTAAAAAACCTCACCCAACGTGGCCCCTCTCTCCACACCATTCTCAGCTGCCCTCCCCTCATCACCCTCTCCTGGCAAGATGAAGGCACAGGAGAAGGCCAGTGGGAGCACATAGGACAGCCCTGGGCCTTGTAATTGTCTGATGTTTCAAATTCCTGGTGGAACCCACACCCTGTATCAGAGCACAAATAACCATGTGAGCTGTGCATGCCCTGTGCTGTGTGTACACATGTGAGTGTGCGTTTGCCAGTATGTGTTGAGTTTGCAGCTTAATGGGCTGCTTTTGTCTGGACTGTGTCCAGGAGGGGATGTGATGCCCTTGGGGACTAGTCTTTTGAAGCTGATTTGTTGTGGCGGCTTGTTCAGCAAGACATTAAAAACCATGGCTTCTGCTGTTCCTAAGTGGGTCGTGCAGCGAGGGAAGGCCATAGAGGTGAGGAAAGGAGTTGTGTCCCTCATTCAGTCTGTCTCCCTTCCTAATACCAATTGTGTTTTGTGTGTGTGTGTGTGTGTGTGTGTGTGTGTGTGTGTGTGTGTGTATTTAACAGTTAATGGCTAGCAGGAGGTCACGGAGCAGATCCAGCCTCCCAATTCTTTTCTAAAATATATTTTTATTGATTTGAGAGAGAGATAGAGGAAGGGAGAGGGAGAGAGAGAAACAGAAATGATGAGAGAGAGGAACATTGATAAATTCGCTGCCGCCTGCAAGCCCCCTACTAAAAGCCTGCAACCTGGGCATGTGCCCTGACCAGGAACTGAACCAGCAACCTCTTAGTGCATGGGATGACGCTCAACTGAGTCACACTGGCCAGGGCCCAATTGTGTTTTGAAAAGTAAACAGCAGAGCCTCTGAAATTTCATCATTATTTATATCTAACTCCACAGGGTGCTGGGTGGCCCTGGCTCCCTGACACATGTCGGTGATGTTGGAAGAAGTATGTCATTGCATGATTGTGTCTGTCACATCACTGTCCAGATTTCTGGTCTTGGGGTGTTCCTTACTGATTTAGTGACATAGGGCTATTTATATTTAGTAAACTAGTTTCCTTTAGATCAGGGGTGGGGAACCTTTTCTCTGCCAGGGGCCATTTGAATATTTATAACATCATTCTCAGGCCATGCAAAATTATCAGCTTAAAAATTAGCCTGCTATAGAGACATTTAATTAACTCACTCCTAATGATTTGGCAGGGCCAGACCAAATGATTTCACGGGCCTTATACTACCCATAGGCCAGATGTTCTCCACCCTTGCTTTAGATGTTTTTAAAACGATGTTAATTGTCCTTTGGTTAAAGTACATTAATTTCTAGCCCTAGCCGGTTTGTCTCAGTGGATGGAGCGTCGGTCTGCGGACTGGGGTGTCCCAGGTTCGATTCCAGTCAAGGGCATGTACCTGGGTTGCGGGCATATCCCCGGTGGGGGGCGTGCAGGAGGCAGCTGATCGATGTGTCTGTCTCATCGTTGTTTCTAACTCTCTGTCTCTCTCCTTTCCTTTCTGTAAAAAATCAATAAAATATATTTTTTAAAGTACATTAATTTCTGGTTTGATTGCATTGGTATCAGAGATTTCTATGTATACTATTTCTGTTGTATGTAACTTATTGAGGGAATAATCCTTATCTGCTAGCATTTTGAGAGCCTCTTGAGAGAACGGGGCAAGAGATCTCATTGTTGGTCTGTTTTCTTTCACATAGCACCCTGGTTTTAATCTCAGCATTTCCCTGTTTTAAGAATTGCTAGTTGTCATACCCTGAATGAGCCACCCTCTTCAGAGGGAAATCTCCAGTTGTCCATGGGGAAAAAAGAGTACTCACCTAGTGATTAGGATTTCTGGGGGCCTGAAACTTCCTTCCAGAAAATGTAAATTATGATTTCTGTTTTTATTCCCTGACCTCCACATCTTACCTTGGGTGTGCCAAGTGCTAGCCTTCTAGAATCCATGATGTAAACCAGGGTTTCCTAGTGACTTCTTCCTTATAGGCTTAGGTTCATCACTCTTTGCTTGGTCATATTAGTCACAACTTATTCATCCACTGTCCAAATTCCAGGGCTGTGTTGACAGAGCTTGCTGGTTGTTTTCAATTCTCCTGACTTTTTAGTGCTTGTTAGTTTGTGCCATTTTATCTTGTATCGTTTTAGTGCTGTTTCTATAAGGTGGAAATAAACACATGCCAATTTTGCCATTTTAATGAGAGGTTTCTTCTATTGCTTTTAAAAAACCTTTTAAGTATTTATTACCTTTAGGTTTCTTTTTTAGTTGAATATTTTCCACATACCATACAATTCACACTTTTAAAGTGTACATGTTAGTAGTTTCTAGAATATTTACAAAGTTGGGTATCTATCACCACTATCTACTTACAGAACATGTACATCACCCAGAAAGAAACTTCATACTCACTATTAGTTACTCTCATTCCCCTCTTTCCTCAGCCTTGGGAAACACTAGTCCACTTTCTGTCTCTGGATCACCTGCTCTGCACATTTCATGTAAATGGGATGAGATAATATTTCTCTGTCTGGCTTCTTTCCCTCAGCATAATGTTTTCCAGGTTCATCCATGTTGATCTGTCAGTCCTTCATTTCTATTTTAGTTGCTAAGTATTTTATTGTATGGATATGCCACATTTTGTTTATTCATTCATTAACTGATGGACATTTGGATTTTTCCACTTTTTTGCTATTATGAATAATGTTGCTTGTGAACATTCATGCACATGTTTTTGTGTGCACATATCTTCAGTTCTCATGGTTATACACTTAGGAGTAGAATTGCTAGGTTGTATGGTAACTCTGTTTATTTTTTGTGATCCTGCCAGACTGTTTTCCAAAGTGACTATACCATATTATATTTGTACCTGCAATGTATGAGAATTCCAGTTTCTCTGTATCCTTGCTGACACTTGTTATTTTCTCCTTTTTAAAATTCCTCTTAAATTTTGAGTTAATTTTTGTATATGATATAAGGTAAGGGTCCAAGTTCATTCTTTTGCATGTGGATACCCAGTTTTCCCAACACCATATGTTTCAAAGACTGCTCTTTCCCCATTAAATTGTCTTAGCCTCATGTTAAAAATTCTTCCATTGTTTTCTGGTGAATTCTCACTTATTGACCTTAGGCCTAACTAAACAAACAAGGCCTCTCTGATCCTCGATCAGTAATATTTTGAGCTTTTGACTGCCCTGTGTATGACTGTCTTCCCAAGTGAGATGCTGTGTGCCCATCTGAAAGGGAGGTTTTACTCAATGTTATCTTATATGGAATTTCTTTGCATGTGGTGTTTTCATTTATTACATTTTGAACCTCAACATATTATATGGACAAGAAATTTTAGCTTGAGACATACACAGACATTGCTGTTATTTATTGCCTAAAGTGGTTACCTGATTGACTCAGAGAAAGGCAAAGAAGTTTAACATAGGTTTCTAATTATTTTTGGTGCTATGATCTCACAATTCCAAATGTTGGGACACTGTTATAAACAAGCCTTTTACGATGTCTAAAACAATAATTTGTAGTGGTCATAAATATACACATATGGAATAGATTGAAAAATACAGCAAAGACTATAATATTATGAAAATAGATACTTGTGACTGAGGTTTAAATTTCGAGTTCGAGCTACAAACATGATTCAAAATGTAAAAGTCAAGAAACTTAGATAGACCAAGGTGAAAATGATGCACTCTGGAAAAACATCAGATGGAGGAGAAAGTGTCTCTATTTGGACAAAATTGAATACTGAAATGGGAGCGTTTTAATTAAATTATTATACTAGCCATGAAAATGGAATATCAGCTATGTATTTAAATTCATATATAATTTCATAAATGTTATTTTAAAATCCATATAAATACATATAAATATATTAAATATTATAATAGAAAGTTAATTGTTTTAATTACATTCTCAAAAGTTTTCAGTTTTACAAAAAATTTCTTTGGACTTCTCGTTTATAAAATGGAAGCCTCCTCATGTTTTGAGCTGCCTCATTTGGGTTTTAATAGGGCAGTGTTCCTGGATAAGTCCTCACTGGCTCTGCGTTTGCATACCCTGTGCCTGCCTTGTACCTGAATGCTTAAGACATGTTTGCTACTCTGTTGAATGCAAAAAAAAAGCTATCCTGTTGACCCTAGTGGATAGGATCATAAATTTGTAAGTTCATATGCCCTGTGTTTTTGTGTTTTAGGTAGGTGGGACAAAAGCCAGGCCTTCCATAAATCACCAGTTCCAGTTATGATTCTCTAAGTTACCACAAGACTGAACATTTGTGTCTATGGATCTGCTCTGACTCTTAGAGCCGCTTATGGGGGAAGGTGAGTTGCTGTAAAGTATCTTTTATTGCTCATGTGTTTGTTTACCAAGAATGTATGTAACAAAGCCAGACTCATCTTTGAAAAGGAAGTTTGTTCCATGTGGTCCAATCTGCATTTCACTCTCTTTAGTTCATGACAGGGTGTCAGCTGGGCAATAGTGCCAGGGAGAGAGACAGACCATGAACGGGAATGTTTAACAAAGAAAAGCAGTCCAGCCCTGGCAGATATTGCTCTGTGTTAAAGCATAGGCCTGTACACTGAAGGAGTGTGGGCTCAATCCCTGGTCAAGGGCACATTCCTGATTGCAGTTTCAATCCCTGGCCTGTTCAGGGCACGTGTGGGACACCACCAATGAATGTGTCTCTTTAACATCTCTCTCTTTCTCTCTGTCTTTCTCTCTCTCCCTCTGTCTGTTTCTCCCTCTCTCTTCTCCTCCTTCTCTCCCTACCACTCACTCTAAAAATCAATGGGAAAAATATCCTCCGGTGAGGATTAACAACAACAAAAAGAGAAGACAGAAAAAAAGAAAGGCAGTGGATGCAATGATAATGTGGGAACCTCTTGCCTTGTTGGCTCTTGAGAGGTCACGTGTTGCATTGACTTGATGTTTGAAGAAATTGGTCTGTGTTTGCAGGAGCAGGTCAATGCTGAGGCAGAAATATTTCTCCATGGTTCTTTCCTTTGAATTTTTGAGAAGCATGGGAATCCTTAGAACTAATTTCCCATTAGTGTTCCATGTTTTTACTCTGCGGATCTTCATCCTACTATTTTGTAAAGAATGCTGGGTGGGGAATCTGAAGAGCTGGGTCTGTTATCAGCTTCTTAACTGGTTCCCTGTGAGTGAGCAGGAGAGTATACAGATGGAAGAATATGTGTGCATGGGTGTAAGAATGTGTATGCATGTGTGTAGGAGCTTGTGTGCCAGTGTGCACAAGAGTGTGTACACTTCTATAGAGCACATGTATAGAAGCATGGTTGCAGGAGTTTATGTGCATGTGTGTTCGGGTGTAGGAATGTGTACGCATGTGTGCAGGAGCATGTGTTCTGTGTGCTGCTTGCTCCAACTCTCTGAGGTCCACATTCTCTCTGATGGACCTCAAGGTTCTGAGCCTGCAGGACTGACTTTCTCTGGCCTTAGTTTCTACCTGTAAATCAAGCAAGGCCTCAGAGGTTTTTTCTGCAGCTCACATGCCTCAGTACGCTCCAGCCCAGTTCTAGATTATTCCCCGTGTGTTTTACATTATGAGGCACTGCCAAAGCCTTAAGAATACTCAAGGATGCTTTATTCACCTACGGCCATAATAGCGGTGGCCATGGGGAGTCTGCTTCAAGCTGTTTCTTGTATTAATCCAGATTCCCAACATAAACATTCCGTAAGTTCTGAGTTAACGTATCTCCCAGGTGCTTGTCTGAGAAACATGTGCATCTTAAGAAGTCACAAGACTCAATAAGGACCCCCTTGTAAACTCTCTGAAGGTTTGCCATTCCTCTAAGCACCAGCTTCCTCACCCACCCTGCCCAGATGCTGTCTGTCTGGTTTTAGTGTGTTTTTTTGAATTGCAGCTCAGCATTTTTAATCCCGTGGTGCTTGACCCAATTCTGTAAGCCTGTGTCCTGTGCTGTTTTGATCTTTGCTTTGTTCCTCTTTCCATGGAGGAAGGTTAAAACCATTTCAGCTTCCAGGTGTCTGTCAGCTGCACGTCAGTGACTGGTCACAGCAGACTACACGTCCACTCTGGGTTTGAAGAGGAGCCAGAGGAAATGGCTCCTTTCACATGACTGGGATGTCCCAGGCTGCGGTCAAGAGCGAGGATCGTTATGTAAACCAGAGCTGGGGCTGCCCAGAGTTCTGAGGGCACATGTGGAGGATAGGCTTGGAGCACCCTCAGGCCAGGATGCCACCATACCCCATTTTTTCTCAACCTCTGGGCCACGCCTCCTCATCTCCTCTGTGGTCCCTTCACCCTCAGCTTCTTCAGCTGGTGACCTTGGTCCTTATATCCCTTTTGCCTACTGCTTCCTTTCCTCTCACCTCTTCAAGGGTTTGGCTCCTGCCTTACTCCCCCTCTCTGCTTCCACTGCATATGAACACATGGGCATGCCCTTTGATGGCACGCCCACTTGCAATAACCACCCATTTCTATCCCTTTGACAACTGGCCTTGCTGTCACCACTTGTTCATCTTGAACCAGACCTGCCTTTCCAAGATCCACAGATCTTCCCCTGCCAGATCCAAAAGTCGGTGTCCAGTCCTCCCTCACAGTCTCTCAGTAACACTGGATGCTGTCAGACACCCGGTCAGCAGGAGTGTGGGCCCTTGATGTCCTGGGCAGACCCTAAGCAAGGCATGAATGACTGTGCTACTGTTTCTGGAGGAATAAGAGCAGATCCTCTGTGGAGAGCTACTGAGAGGAGTGAGCCAACAATGCCAGATGAACTACAAGGCTGTCTTAATGTTCACTATTAGCATTTTCCTCCTCTGCCTTGAACGCTTAATGTTGATGTCCCCAGGACTTGGCTCAGTTGGGCACCGATGACAGAGCCTGCCCCAGGGTGAGAGGTGGGGTACAAAGAATGCGACTGGCTGAGCCAGTTTGTCACTGTGTGCCAGAGCTTCAAGCACATGTCTCCTTTAACCCAGAAATTGTAACTATAAACATGTATTCCAAGGAAATAAGAGAAGGACATGAAGAGGTACACCCAAAGATTATTATTAAAACACTAGAGGCCCGGTGCACAAAAATTTGTGCACTCGGGTGGAAGAGGGGGTCCCTCAGCCTGGCCTGTGCCCTCTCGCAGTCTGGGACCCCTCGGGAGATAACGCCCTGCTGGCTTAGGCCTGCTCCCAGGTGGCAGAGGGCAGGCCCAATCCCTAGGTGCAGCC